TTTTCCTTCTTTTGCTCTCTAATTCTCAGCTGCAGAATGTAAATAATACGACGCTTACATGAAGTTTCATTTTGTGTTTTGTGTTCAATGATTGCAATGGATATGACGAATGGGATGGGATGGATCGGGATGAAACGATACAACGATGGAAGTTTCACTTTGGCAGGGATATGTATGGGCCATGGAGTCTGATCGTGTCATGAAACGAATCACCTTTTGACTTTGACTTCGAGTTTAGCCTTCGGGGTTCTTGAAATCAGCTAGATACTTCTCCTGTAGCTAACATGAATGGACGGAACGGAATGGCCTGATCACGTCCTCAACACCGACCATCGCTTCTTAGGGATGACCTCAGCTGAAAATAACCTCTGGAAGGGCACTCGACCTGTCCAATACTACAGAGTGCGTAGCAGTTCTTTAGCTGATGCTTGACTACCCCGAGACACCTAGACTCCCAGCACCAACGATACGAGGCACCGCAAGCCACCACCCATCCTTTACAAGGACACCCATGCATTACAACGAGCTGAACGCTCGATCCGCGGAAAAAGGAGACAGGGACATCTACGGAAGTCTGGATGATACGGGAGACGTTTCACCCGTCGTAGAATCTATTTATTTAGGAATATAGCCGTGCATGCCTGGATATCAGCCTTATTGAAATTGAGGTACTGTAGTATTGCCGAAATTCTGATACGGTGCGTCTGTCGATAGATGTGGGGGCTGACCCGCCGGAATGAGGAAACCGAAATAGGAGAGTGAAGATGGGAGATAAGATGCCGGTGAGGACAATCTTGAAAGAGAGGGAGGCGTTGAATGATACCTTAGGAGATGAGAAAATATGTGACGGATGCTACCAATGCGCCGAGCCCAATCCAGGTCTATACATGCCGTATGCAAGGAAAACCGAGACAAATGCAAAATGCGAGATGAGAGACTTCCGAAAGGATATGAGAAAGGGGGAGCCTAGACAATGGAGGTGAATGACGGGCAGTGAGGAAAAAGTATCATAAAGATAGCGTGCGCAGACGCGAGGCGCAGTAGGCTCCCTTCTGTGGAGTGATGCCGGGCTCGGACTTGCTTTTCTGTAGCCGAGGTCTGGTTGCCTTGCTTCTCTCGGTAGCCCCCGTGTAATCATAGTCATCGTCTTGGGACAAAGTCTGCGGCGAGTTTCGGACTGTATCGTCCGAGAACCACACCGTCAGCGCCAAGCGACTGATATTCGCATCATCCCACCCTTCATCCGACAAATGCTGGAGTTCCGGGGCGGCTTTGAGACGCGAGATCTCTACCGATGAGTGGCGGAGTTGGTGCAGAAGCCACTTATTAATGAACATGGCACTGCTGACTTTCGCAGACCCTGGCTCGTAGAAGGGGGAAGAGTCGTCAAGCGCTGACGTCTTCAGAGGATCTTCGATTTGGGATGCGACATCTTCAAGACCCATTCCGTACAGAAAATCCATGTCTCCAGTGTATTCTTCAGTTAGGAGACCTTGTTCATCGCAGATAGCCCGGAGGCGGACAACGTCCAGCATTGTCTCGTTGAGTTCCTTCCGGATCTGCGCCCTTGACGCGTCGTACAATCGTAGGAATTGTAGAGACTCCTCATCCAAAGAGATATTGAGCGAGCTTCGTAGTCTTTGTTTGTCAACAAGGGTGTACCATTGTGAATCGAGCTCCGACAAGCGCTCTTGGAGTATCCGCGCATCTCCTACTCGTGACAAGTAATCCACTACGACAGGTGGGTATTCCAGAGGCTCACCACGGAAAGAGCGTGCATCGATATCGGAGAAGCTGCTTTCAGCCTGAGGGGTCACCTTCGAGGGCGACTCTCGTAAAGATTTCGCGAACCGCTGCATAGACTGGATGAGCACATACTCATCTTGATCCAGCTCGTCTTCCGCCCGATGATACGTTTGCTCCAGGTCCAAATAAGATTCTGTAGCCGACTGAAGCTCTTCGATCAGGTCGGCTAGCTGGTGATCTTGCGCAAGAAGTGAGTTGAGTCTCTTCATCAGCGCGGCTCTATGCTTTCCCTCATCTTCTCGCTTGTAGCGTAGAGCAACGCGCATTTCTCGTGCCCGAAGCCTTCTAGCAGAGACATCCTCGAGTCGTTCGATCAGCCGCCCACTTGCAGTCCTGGTCTCAGTTGGCGGCACATGATCGTGAGCTTCGCTGGACTGCTTAGAAGCTTGCGACTTCCAATCCTGTCCCAAGTCCTCCTGTGGATCTTCTGAATGCTCTGTTGGGTTTGTTGGAGATGGCAAAATATCAGCATCCGTGTCCATACAGGAACCGCTGTGAGAACCGGCCAGTCCGTGCAAGAATCTGCTCACGATACTGTTGCGCTCTGGTTGACCATCCTGTCCCAAGGCAACAGGTTGAGATAACCTCCTGTGGGGAAACTTTAAGAACGACGTGGTTCTTGGACCTGGACCTGGACCCAGTGGATCCGGAATGACTGGATTTATGGATCTCGCGGCACCATGAAGATCCAGCTCCACAGTGCTAGAAGGCCGAATGTCCCCTTTCCTCCTCTGCGCATCATGTGAATTTCAAGTCACTTGGGAGAGCTCTGAAAGACAAGGGTGCAAACTAAACATAAGCGACTCACCCCTTTGTAGGTTGGATTTGGATCCTTCATCCGACCCGGCCAAGACCCCATCTTGCAACTACAACAGATCAGATAGTGTAAGCTTCCCGTACTCTTACATCTTCTGGGTCTAGGAGACTGGGAAGAGAGGGGAAGAAAGGAGATCAACTGTGGATCAAAATTTCTCTTCTGGCCCACGTGTGTACCTGCCGTTGGACTACTATGTGTTCAGCGAGAGAAAAGGGGGGTTAGGCCGGAATGCTTTTTTGTTTACTCTGTCCCTTCGTCCTTCACATTTCTCCCGAAATTCGGCCAACACCAATATAATATTGACTTGGTCCCGCCTTGTTATTGTTTGCCTTTCCCCGGTAATCTCATTCTTTCATCATTTTGTTTTCATGCTCTTTTGGGCCATTTTCCAATAAGCCGGATGAAAGGGGATATTGCTCATCTACTCCATACTTCCCTTGCCTGGATGCGTCACGTTGATAAGTCTCATAGGCGGAAGCCGGCATCACTCTGTGCGACCTCCCAATCATCAGGCCGGAAGGGCGACAGGCATTCTTACCTGCAACTCGCAGTTCTTCCCATGACTTCCAACAATCAAGAGATTTAAATTCTTGGAAAGGATAAAGGGTATATTGATGACAGCCTTGCGAGAGTGTTTCATGAGTCATGGCTTTCCAACCACACGGGAGCGTTCGGCCTTCCCGTGCCGTCTTATTGGCGCTACTGATTCTTTGAAGCCGGTGATGCGCTACTCAGTGTCTTCTACTGGTCAGACGGACCAACCCGTGTAGTCTCCGTTCGAAGTGCAGTAGTAGTTCCTGTTGGACCCCTCCCCCATTTCGTGGAGAGACCATGAATTAAGCTAATCAGTATCGATGGATAGCAAAGCGTTCATATGCCGACCCCCTTCGAGCCCAATCAGGGAAAAGAGGGTGCTTATCCCGGACCTCGTAAAGCCAGATGCGACTCTCCTGGGTCGATTGTCATGTGCGTCATCTCATCTACGAGTAGGATTCGGACAACAAAGTAGCCACACATACCTGATGCTGATGGTGCATCGAAGCTGTTCGGTCAAACTGACCTTTCTACCAATATAGAGGGAAGTGACAGTAGAAGAGCCTCAATTTGGCTCCTCAGCCCAAACATGTCGATACGGATTTCCACTACCGTCGGTTTGCTTTTAAAGCAGCCATGCAGTCTAATAGTCCAACTTTTGAGAGCTTCGACTCTCGCACCTCCAGCTTTTGTCGATCAAAGTCGTTCGGTAATATTCAAGCGGTGTCTTATTCACTTGTGACTTGTCTGCAACTTTCGGGAAATGAAGTATGGCCAATACTGAAAGAAGGCACCGTCATCGGCGTCATAGTGGTAGGGAGGCCTGCTCGAACATCACCTCGGATCCGTCGCAGAAAGCTCATTCATGCGTTTAGCTGCTCATCATGACGACGAAGGACAACGCAATCGACCGGCGAGATACGAGGAGTCGAATTTAAGCAGGTAGAGAGAACATTCCATGTTAGCTCATGATTAATGTTGATATGACTTGCTTAAGTGATGTTCCACGCTTGTCATCAGCCCTTCCATACCAAGATGAAAGTCGTCGTCCTGCAAGGGATGTGACTGTCGCATCCTCTTCATATCGCCTGTCTCGGGGCGAGATGTCTCGAAATGGGGGACAGCCGAGCGATCTTCCAGCGTATGTTGAAAGCATAGAGGTATGGGCCAAGATATGGATAGTACTGACGGACGGTGCGATACTTGAATAGTGTTCAGAGTATACCACAGAGCTCTCCGCGCCATTTAGTCCGTGACTCAACTCAGCCCATCAATTATCTTTCCGGTGCCTACGGTAGAGATGTGGTCACTCAACCTGCATACGACACCCAGGGGAATTATGGTGCATCACCTGGGGCACACAATTCTTCGACCATGGACACTCTGACTACTGATTTTGCACATGTGGGAATGCGTTTCTCAACCCAGGGATCCAGCGGCCTAAACAGCGAAATCCTTGAAAGTCATGATTATCCGCCAGCAAGCTCTCACAGCCATTACCAGCACCATCCTGAGACGCGTCAAAGTGCCAGTAGTCAGCTGATATATACTATTATGCCTGGAGTAGGTTCACATCCAGCGGGAACACAAGGCACCTCCGAACAGAGCAGTCCTCCGCTTGGGGTAAGTGACCATTCGCAGTCCAGATACGACACGCGTCTAAGTGATAATGTAGAATCTGCGAAATCGAAAGGCTTACAGCATCCGCGGAGAATCACGAGGGGTGTATGGACCCCCTCTCGATTGGCGTATGTAACATACACTGCCCATGACCGCCTTCAACGATCTAATGGTTTCTAGGCTACCAATTGCAGAGATCTCCTGGCGATTTTTTTGTCGTGGGAAGGGTAAGGACTATATGAGGAGCCTTCAAATCATCTGCTCTTCTGTAAACTCCTTCCATACTATATGCATTTTCTGATAACTTGTACAGGTCTTTGCAATCCTCTGGCATGAAGGCAGAGGACAACAAGGAACTGTAATTTCGGACTTCATCAGCCAAGGCAGATCCACCCAGGGCCAATTCACCCGAGGCAGATTTGGAGAGGAGATCTTCAGCGGTATCCGACGCATGGTGGTTGTAAAAGCGATGAGCCAATGTGCCTGGTGTTTGTAAGTGAAGCCCATGCAAGTGCTACCCTACCAACCAACGCTGATTATGCTGTTCAGACCCATCACCACCTACGGTGGCCAAGGGGTAGCCAAACCAGGCGTTGACCCAGCAAAACACGCCATTGTATATATGCGGGGATCTGTGCCGACCTGCAAAGCTGATGAGCTACGAATGACCAAGGAACCCTTGGAAGTCGAACCAGCAAGACCGGACGAGAAGCTCGATGAGATGTCTCGTCTGAATTTCGGCAAGGTCTACACCGTCGAACATAATGTCAAAGTGCGTCCTGTCGGGATGATATCCTGGACCTCAATGGTCAAATTCAGAGGCTATGCGAGTAACGAATTCAGACTCGACATTTGATGCATCTTCAAGACGATTTCGACGTGAAAATTGGTTGTTTTTGGTGCTCCAGGTGAAGACGGCCCGTATGTCCAATTTTCAGCTCGTTTCCGAGCGAAATCCTTGAAATACGATCGCTATCGAGACTTTCGTGCTATCCGTCATACGTTCTTATCAAGCATATTCTTCGCTTCGGCTTTTTGCCGCTATACGAGCACCGGCCCAACCACATACGGTGCACGCGCTGATACCAGTGCGTCCGATTCCCTATCGTCGATCAGTTCTTTCCTTGGATTCTTTTCGACTTTTGTTCGTGCTTATTCATGTTCTTTTTGAGCTGGAAGGATGACTGTGTCACCGAATACGTATTTGCAAGGATACCATGATAACGACAGTGTATTGACCTAGGCGAGACATGCTCTCAACGCCAGTTTAGGGTCTATGAATACCACTTGAGGCACATCAGTGCAGAATTGTACATGCGATTGTCTTTTCGGGCCATTTTCATGATTCATGTTGCTATCACTTCCTTGTTTGAAATACCTTCGCTTGCTGAACTGAGAGATGAGTATATGGTACAATCAGATTGATTTGAATTATCTTTTCCGAAGCAAGAAATGTTGGGTACAAGCTGCTAGAGGGAAAAGTAATACAAATTGAAAAGAATGTCGACATCATTAAGGTTCTGTGGATGAGGTACCTAGATGGACGTGGCACTATCAAAGGAGTAAATAGTGGAGAAAATACTGCCGCGGGAATCTCACCGCCCGACAGAATTTCTGAAACCGCCCGAACGAGGAAAACTTTCCAGTCAGTCTCCAATATCCTACAAGTCAGCTGCAAAGGTCCTTTTCGAGGTCTTTTGGAACACTGTCTCGTCAAAATGAAACGCAAGCTTGACGCCAACGATGTTCCATCGACAGAGGTGGCAGAGGAAAAGGAGACAAAAGATGCGGACAACACCGATTTCGAAAGCCTCAATCTCGATCCCCGACTGCGCCAAGCTTTGATCAAAGAACAATTCACAAAGCCTACTCCCGTTCAATCTAAGGCCATCCCGCTCGCTCTCGAGGGCAAGGATATTTTAGGTAAGCATCAAGGCTTCAGCATGCGTTATGGTTGAAACCTCTAATGAAATCAGCCCGTGCGAAGACAGGTTCTGGAAAGACTGCGGCCTATGTCCTCCCGATTTTACAGACGATCCTTCAGAAGAAAGCCGTACGTTATCCTTAGGCTCACATTCAAGAAGACAAAAGTGCTAAATTGCATAATCGTCTAGGCCGATCCCTCGTTAAAGGCTACGACTGGCCTCATCCTCGTTCCCACTCGAGAGCTCGCAGAACAAGTTCAGAATGTCATCACAAAATTTTCTGCATTCTGCGGCAAAGATGTTCGCTCCGTGAACCTTACACAGAAAGTTTCCGACGCAGTGCAGCGCACGATGCTCGCCGATTATCCGGACCTGATCGTGTCCACTCCCGCTCGTGTGATTGCCAACCTGGGTAGTTCGGCTCTGTCATTGGAGAGTTTGACGCACCTCGTAATCGATGAAGCGGACCTGGTTCTCTCGTACGGTTATGATGAGGATATTAATGCATTGGCGAAGGCGATCCCCCGCGGTGTGCAGACGTTCCTCATGAGTGCAACTCTCACTTCGGAAGTCGATACCTTGAAGGGATTGTTCTGTCGGAGCCCTGTGATTTTGAAGTTGGAAGACAAAGAGGATGAGGGTGCCGGTATCAGTCAGTTTGTTGTTAGGTAAGATCAATTGTCCTATCTGACAATGCTTGGTCTCCGGCTAACGCTTGTGCCAGATGCGCGGAAGATGAGAAATTCCTCCTGACCTACGTCATTTTTAAACTGCAGTTGATTAAAGGCAAAGTCATTATCTTCGTCGGTGATATTGACCGTTGTTATCGTCTCAAGCTCTTCCTAGAGCAATTTGGAATCAAAAGCTGTGTGCTCAATTCCGAGTTGCCCATCAATTCTCGGATTCACGTTGTGCAGGAGTTCAACAAGGGTGTTTACGATATCATCATTGCAGCCGATGAGCAAGAAGTGATGGGATCGCGGACGTCTTCCAAGAAATCTAAGGAGGCTACTGACGGAGATGACGACGAGGCCAGGGACAAGATGGGCTCTAGTGAAGACGAGGACAACGAACCAGAACAAACCAGCAAATCTGCCCGCCCAGAGAAACGTCGCAAGACATCAGCAAAAGCCAAGGATTACGGAATCTCCCGCGGCATTGATTTCCAGAACGTCGCTTGTGTTCTAAACTTTGACCTCCCCACCACTTCCAAGTCCTACACCCACCGCATTGGCCGTACAGGAAGAGCTGGCAAGACCGGCATGGCACTGTCATTTGTCGTGCCAGCGGACGAATTCGGCAAACACAAGCCCACCAGTTTCCCCACCGCTAAGCACGACGAGTCCGTGCTAGCGAAGATCGTCAAGAAACAAGCCAAACTCGGCCACGAGGTGAAACCCTACCACTTCGAGATGAAGCAGGTCGATGCCTTCCGGTATCGTATGACAGATGCCCTTCGCGCAGTCACACGATTGGCCATCCAGGAAGCCCGTGCGCGTGAAATTCGCCAGGAGTTGGTCAAGAGCGAGAAGCTCAAGCGGCACTTCGAAGAGAACCCCGAGGAACTCAAGCAACTGCGCCATGACGGCGAGCTTCGCGCCGCGCGTATTCAACCTCATCTCAAACACATTCCGGATTATCTTATGCCGACCAAGGGAAGGAAGGGCATCTCCAGCGAAGATGTTGGGTATGTCGGTTTCAGGAAATCGGGAGACAATCGGATTCGCAAAGCTAGAGAGAAGAACCGCGGTAAGGGTAAGGGGCGAAAACCCTCGGGAGTGAGGAAGGTGGACCCACTCAAGACCTTCAATCGGGGTCGCAAGTGATATGTTGATCGATGTGTGTTTCATGATGGTTTTTGGAGGGGATACAAAAGTTTGAAATGGCTGCACAGTCTTGTACATACAGGCGATCTCCTAAGGAGTTCAAATCTCTCTCTATAGATACCAAGTGCAATTTTCTAGTGACCTAAGTTTTATCTAAGGCGCCGCCCAGGCTTCGATCAGAAGTCGTCAGTCTAAGTATCATTTGATGTCTTTAGAGAAATACGCTCTTGTATATACTGTAATTGGCATTAGTGTACCGGGTGTAGCATCAAGGGACAAAACTTTGATAATCTGTCCCGAGTAATTTCTTGAGGGTACCAGCATCCAATCCCTCCAGGCCAAAAGAGAAATGCACCCACTTTCCTCGTCCGCTCCGCCGCAGCTGCAGAACACGTCTCTGCACCGCTTTTGCAGAACGCTGAGACTCTCGGTAGTGCCCCAACTCCTTAGCTCGCCTGTACTTGATGCGTTCCAACTCGACATCCCACGGGAGCTGTGGGGTATCAGGCGGAGCGGGAGATGGTGCATGAATGGACGAAGCGAGGGATCGTAATGACGATGATGACGGTCGCTCAACTGCACTACTTTGCGGTACGGCGAACTCACTGTCGTCAATATGAGGGAGCCACCCAGGTCCTAGTCGGACATACTCAATATCCCTCCATGATCCGTTCCATTCGGGACCTGTAGGTCGTGCCTGGCCGTTCGGGCCAACGTCTTCCCAAGTCAACGCGGGAATCCAGTCCCCACAGCCTTCGAGATCCAGCCACTTCAGACAATATGTTACGCGAGAGACCCTGCGCAGAATGGCAGCAGCCTCAGCCCAGTTGTTCTCCATTCCAGAGTAAGAGTCCGTACCACCGTAGGCGAAGGTGAGGGATCGTTGGGTGGGATGCCTAATGCGCGCGTTCATAGCGTTTGGAGTCACTGTTGGTATGGGCCAGTGCGCCAGAGAGAGATGAGTAATTGTTGATAGACGCGATAGGAGGTCGACAAGGGAGTTCCAGTTCGCAGCCGCGGGTTTTGGGTGCGCTAAGGAGAGGAAGCGAAGATTTTCGAAGCGAAGGCCCTGGCTTAATGCCTTAGGAATGAACATATTAGAGTTTTCAGCAGCTATCTCATCTTCTTCGTCATCATCCTCTTCCCATGATGACGGAACAGACTCTTTCGCCTTGCCTTGTACAAGACCCGCTCCTAACTTCTTCGAGAGGAAAAGTCCATGTGAGAGCTGTTTTATAGTCATCCAGCGCCCTAATGCATTGCTCAAATCCAGACGCGAGATCTCTGGGTCGCTATCTTGGAATGTACCCACTGCATCCCCATTCTCATGGTCATCGGTACTGAATTTCTCAAACAGAGGCTTCAGCCCATGCATCAGCCCTTTTAGAGGTTGATCTCTCGCATAAACAGCTATATAGCTCAGCAGTAAAACTTTAACGTGACTGGGTAGCACAGCCAGGAATTGCCCATCGTATTCAATATGCCATGCCCATTGCGCCGCCATGGACTTCAGAACCATGTGCAACAAGTCTGACTTGTGCGGTAACGTCGTCCCCGGAAGCCGATCCAACCGATAGATGATCCTTTCCGATGGCGCAGCATCTGTAGCTTCCAAATCGCTTTCATCCAATGTATCTGTATCATGACTCCCCAAGAGCCAGCTCTGGGGTGGCGGCGGTCCAGGAGTCCTCCTCAGCCGTCGTCCAGTAACTCCGATGCGGCGTGCTTCCGGGCGGGGACGAGGTGGCGGGGTCTCAGGGAGCTCTAACAAGTTCCGTAGTGACGGATGAACAGACCGCGGAGCGACAAACCTGGATGGGCTGCCAGCGCCGTCGTCAGAAGAGCGGGAAGTCTGAGTGCGACGAAGATGATTGATCATGTCGTTGACCGACGGTGTCGATGTGCTCGAGGACGAGGCCTGCGAAGCATGAAACCGTTCATTTTGGTTACGAGGACCGGAGGAGATTAAAGTATGATGAGCGGGACTGACAGGCTTCGCGAAGGAGTTTTTGTGGTGCTTTTTGGGCATAGAGAATATGATTACAGAGAGGAACGAGAAGCAGGTGGGGTGTTGACGGAGCGACGTTGGAGAAGCTTGGGGATTTTGTTCTTATCGGCGGATATTTTCGCCCCCCCTCACGGCCATCTGGACTCGGCCAGGGTAGAGAACAGGAAGGAACTCGACAACGGAACAACTAAACGATGTGCTCTATCCTCAATTTTTATGTACGCGACCATTCGTTATCTTACATCTGTACTAGAGGAACAAAGAGTAGGCGAGCCTCCCTCATATGTCCCTTACCCAAGATTCATCTTTCATTTTGCCTTCTCGTTGCGGACCTTCTTGGATCCATGTCTCCATGAGACCTTGTTTGGGGTCTTCGTCGGAGAGGCCCCTTGTCCGTCTTACTTCCAAGACAAGATCCCGAACCTTCTTGGTAACCTCCTTTCGCAGCTCAACCGCCTCTTCCCCGTGCAGCAGTTCTTCGCTAAGCACCCCTAAGGGAAGGTTGCGAGTCTCCGGTGACTCCAACTCAGCCTTTGCCTTGATCTCACGCCATCTTCTTCTCATGTCTCCGAAGACTGCCTCGGAATCTACCTTCTTTCCAAATGTGATGCTAATGTCCTTACCTACTCGAGGAAGAAACCGAGGAAAGCCACGGCTTTCGTGCATGACCTGGTCAAATCCCTCCAGCCAGATGGGGACAACGTCAGGACACTCGTTTGCTTCCAATATCAGTCGGGCGACACCCCACTTGAAATACCGCATCGTTCTGTTCGGAGCCTGGTGTATTTTCCCCTCTGGAAAGATGTGGACCCAAGAGTATGAGTTGCAGGCGTAGGCGGACGGTGCCAGATGCGAATCCGTTCCAGTGGTTGTGTAAGCGGTGGGAAGATCTGAGAATGGGTCGACGCAGACGTTCTCTAGGCTCCAGTGCTGTCTTTCAGGAGGCGGGAGGTGTGGATCTGGAGGGAACGGCCCCTTCGACAATAACCGGATAGCCTGGGTTACGGCTGGCTGCGCCAAACCGCCATGGGGGGAATGTGCTAGTCGATGTGTGGGTAGGACTTGACCCATCGTGAAGAAGAGAGCCAGAGGTCTACTCAGGTTCAATTGGTTAGCCGCAACACCATGACCAGATCGTGGGTTGTTCCACCGTACCGGCTTTGATAACAGATATCATGGCTGCCAAAGCCCCATCTCTTGTTGGATGACGCAAGTCCAATATTCCATCGTAGTGGAATTGCTCCCCACATAATCGGATCATCCATACTGCTCGAGTCAGCGACAACGGTAAGCTTCGTTGAAGTCGCAGATGGGTGTGTCGCCTCAAGCTTCAAGGCGCATCGTACGTACGTACACGCTTATATGGTTTGAGACTGTCGAAATCACTCTCATGTCAGCAATTGATGTCCGCACAGCGATCAGATAGAAGCACAGAACTGTGTTTCCAGAGTAAAGAGGATTGATACCTGTCAGTAAACCCCTCGTTCTTTGCGACGGATCCTTTCGAGATTCAAGTAATTCCAGAAAGGTCTCCAAGCCATTAATTTCTGGACGACTACACATGTACAAGAACGAACGGCATAATGCAGCAACTCCGAAAATCGTCGTAGCCGAAAGCGCTCTCCAAGGGAGAGACGGGCAATCGCCTGTCGCACTGGAATCCGTAGAACGGGACATTGTGTACAGCTCTACCGACGAGAATCCATGGACAAAGGTAGATCAACAACAGATGCACCGAGAACAAAAGACAGTCGCACTTGAGAAGGCCAACAAGGGGCCAGACAATGATCGAAATGCAGTGAGGGGAAGAGACATCTCTCCCCCGGACGGACAGGCGTGAAAGCAAGAGACACCTTCATTGGCTTTGCGGCCGCGGAGGTCGGAGGCGCACGGACCAACCAGCACCTCTGAAACTCCAGAGTATTTTCGCCCCCGAATCTGCCCATCACCGACAACGACAGTGTTAGTCTTGCAGCACCTCCAGCGAACAATTTGACACGCTACTGTCAAGATGTTCAAGGCATCTTCACCGCTATTCTCGGGTCTTCTATGGTATGCCCCTAAAGCTTCTGATTCAGCCTCTGCAGCTGGTTCATCCACTTTGCCTTTTTCCCACTCCCATAAAGCGCAGGACTAATGATTGACACTTGGGAACGAATGAACAGGAAGATCCCATGGCGTATTTCACAACCTCAGAAAGCTCGCCAAAGGAAGCGTCTACGCGCTGTTGACCGGGTGGTCGACACCCTCAGCGCCGCCTTGCGACGAAATGGCCAGAGCACAAAAGCCGTCGATCGGTGGTATGCGGAAATGCCTCGGGAGGAAGAGATGTTACCCAAGGACAAGTACACGCTGTTCGATAAGAAGGAAAAGACCTATCGGAAGGGTATTCACAGTACGTTTGTCTCAGCATTGTCCCTGCTACACTCTCTCTGGAAGGAGAATGCGAAGCGTATCCTTCTCATCTCAAATGACCTAGATAATCGCTTTTCACCTGTTTTCTCTCAAGGCGACGCTGCAAGGATGCTGACAACTCTCTTTCTAGAACTGCCTAAGTGGACGAGAGTCAGCCAGCGCTTAAACCCTCCTGGTTTCTAAGTTCTTTTTGACCATCTTCTTCGACGCGCGATACTCTTCAGAACCGTCCATACGATTTTCTGGAAATGTTTGTATAATACACCATAGCCCTTATCGCCTAGATCTTCTAATGAAGGTTGAGGTTGAGCTAGAAAGGATACAGGGAAGCAACCGGAGTTCTCGGCTACTGGGAAATTACACAATGACTGCGATGGGTTTTCAATTCGGCTCACAATGCCATTCATACAACTTTGAGAGCACATTTCACACACACACAGAGTTCTCGTTTCTTGCTTAGATGATATCTCTGATCATACGCGTATAACAATAAATGATAGGTTGGGGCCTAGAACGCTCTGCGAAGAGAGGGGAAATTCTCCTAGTAGAGTCAATATGATATCTACCTGACCTATGGACGACAGACCGCTTCGTCGACCTCTCAGAATTGCGCCGTATCCTGCCTGTATTGTCACTTCTCAAACCGATGCAGGGCTTGAATCAAGGATATTGATTGGCTTTGGAGAAATTTCCAGCTGCTGGCCCCTCAGTTCAAGCTTCACCGACACCGCTTGGTACCTCTTGCGCCGCGTCTGTTTGGGGAGTGTTCAAAGCTTCATTTGTTATGGCCTGGAAGTATCGGGTAAGTCCAACCGCTATCTCCTTCATCCTAGTTCGATTGGCCCTGCCTTCATAGATCGCTTTACGAATTCGATAACCGCGGCGCACCCTCTGCCAGTCACCGAGGGTCTCTTGCCATCCTGCTCCTCCTTCGTAGTATGCTTTTTCCTGCTTAGTCGACATTGCAAAACCTTGTGGGGGCCTTCGAAGAATCCAGCTTGCGGGATCGACTTTCCCATCCGGGGGTTCATCTGCTGAGCCTTCAAGTAATGCAACGCCCTTGACGACATCTCGAAGACCTGTTGCCCGTCGATTCCGATTGACAGCAGCCCTCCATGAATTTAAATGAGGCCTGTTGGCTGTTTTGCAAGAAGTTTCGGGATATTTGAGTTTAGGCTCCCAGTGAGGTATTGGATATGGAGAATTAAATCGTGGATCTCCCCAAAGACGTCTTGCTTCGATGGAGACCCGTGAAATAGGATCGAGTACAACCCAAGTCTCCCTATTGAGCCAGTGATTGGCAAGCAGGGCAAAGTGAAAAGGCCTGCGACCAGGACTAAGCTGTTCGACGAGCCATTCCAATTTTCGATTCAGGTCGCGCGCTAGCCTCGACTCCCAGGTGCTCAGGCTTCGTAAAGGTGCTCTTCTAGGTACCAGGTCCCTAGCTTTCGATTGATGAATCTTCCGATGCTTCGTGCTGTTGTTGATTCTATGCAACCTCCGTGGTCTCTCTACACGATCCGAGTGCGGAATGCTCCTAACGCCACCAGGAGACGCAGCCTCAAGCTCTAAATCTCTGACTTCTGCACTTCGACATGAACTATGACTGATGCGTAACTGCCGCTTAAAACGTCGGTGTTCAGCTTCACAATCCTGTGCGCACTTATCCGACATTTCTCGGCTGTCATAATCAAAGTGTCGTCTCATGGATACGGCGTGACTGGTTGCGTCTGAGGAGGGATTGGCGATCCTTCTTCCAAAGGTCCTTGGGACCACTTCCAACAATGCAGTGCGTTCGGACGAGAAACTGCCGAGGAGTCCAGATTCGGGGCTTCCGGGAGGCCCGAGAAGCGGGCCCTGGTTGTAACGGATGCATTTTGACGTTTGAAGTTCCATCCGAGCGGACCACATCTGGTACGCAAGAGCACGAGGTCTCTTCGATGTCTGTACCGAGCGTGAGGCAACTTCCCCATGCCTGAAAATTTGAGCAGTATGAAATGCTTCTGAGCGATCGACGAGTCTTGAACGAGCGGTTCCTGTACTCAGTAGACATGGCATGGAAAGATTCTGTCGCAGCGTTCGGTTGCGGTTTGGGAAAAACAGGACCAAACAGTTGCCTCTGCGTAAGTATATTGAATGATTCAATGGCAAGGGCATTCCGCCATGGTCATAGAGCAAGCGGAGATCTCGGAGTCGAATTGTGTTTGTTGTAGACTTTCCCTTGAGCCTTCTGTCGAACTGTATCGATGCAATCGGCGATAATTGAGAATGATCGGACATTGACATCTGACTCGATGATATATTGTGAGAACCTCGTCTCTCTGATAAACTGAACGCAGCCCTGCGCAGGTTCTGAGTTGAAAGAGTGTCCCTTCCTGCACAGAAACATTCCGCTGTATTTCCACCGGGCACCGGGTAATGCCCAACTGGAGGACCAGGGTTCCAGATGGCATCCACCGTTGTGAATTCGTAGCTTCTGAAGCATTTCGGCACCCAACGGAGGAATCTTCGCCTTTCCTTGTACTTTTCCAGCTCCTTTTGGCCAGGATCCCACCAGACCCAGCGAAAGTCGGCCTTGGATGATCTCCACGCCGTCCAATCATGAAATTTCTGGAAGCATTTTTGGAAAATCCTCTTGTGGAACTCGTGTCGTTGTAATGGCACCCAGCCATACCAGGTTCTCGCGTAGCGAGTGTTCACGGTCTTTCCTTGCCTGAGGACTCGGTCCCGAGTGAGAAACCGAAAGAATTGGCCAATTTTCCAGAACAAAACCGCGAGCACAAATATGCAGATAGTTCCCACAAACAGTTGGATCAGTACCCTCAAACTAATGTACCTCGTGACCCGTATTGGTCGTGCGTGAGCGCCTTTGGATGGGTGGGAAGCAGAAAAGGATTGATAGTATCGTGTGTGAAGGACAGGCGCCATCTGAGAAATAACCGAGCGTCGGCCAGATGTTCATCATGATAACAATACTGTTCTTGAATGCGAGGTCTTCCATATCTGCATGAAATTGCTCGTGGTTTAAGTCAACGTCGCGACACGTGAGCGAGGGCGCAGAGAGCTGTTGAGGCCCGAAAGGGAAGGAAGGTGTCTTTCCGTCGCGTCCGTCTCCCCTTCTACTTCAAGGGCTGCAACAGAGCAAACCTCAGTACTCGGCACCATTTCTCCCTCTACCTTACCAGGAGGGAGGACTTTCTCAAGGTGAAAAACTCCAAGGACCGGGCATTGCCGTCATTGCGCTTCTCCCTGAACCAACTTTTGGAACAGGGACATGGACCCAGCCAATATCGTCTGACTCAAATGGCATTCAAGGAAGACGGTGTACCACCAAGGTCATCGCTTCTATGGTCTCCAGGCCATGCTGCTGTTGCTTCGGGAGTATGTACGTTAATCGCTCATGGCATATTGAGAGCGTCACTAAATCTTAGTGTAGGGACTAGGGAGTGTCCATCTGTAGGTTGCTACCGAGTACGTATCCACATCTGGAGAGTCGATCTCTCTCGGAATTGTCCGGCGATAACACAACCTTTTGGACATAAGCATAAAAATATGCGCCATTTCGGCTCCACTGACTTTACGACCCCTCCCTGATGTTTCATATCTATCTCCTCACGATGAACTCCAGAAAAGTGTCAAAGACTTGATGAACCAGTGAATTAGAAAAGTTGGAATGGCTTTCCAGTGTTCGAGGGGCGGCATTCGCAATCTCAAACAATAAACCATTGAAGCAGCTTCCTGCTCTCTGGCGATGGGCTGAGCCCAGCCGGCAGCGATACAAACTATGGCAGTGCTTGGAATCGACTTAATCTCCCTAAGGCTGTGCACAAGTGGAGAGGGTATCATTTTGACGGTTATGCCACCCCTCTCTGGCATACCATCGGATATCGGTCTATCAAGCCGTCAAGCGTCTAGCAATGCAGGAAACGTCACACACCAGGGTTTGACAGCTGACGAGCGAATAAGACACTACCTGCTAGGTCCTGCTAGTGATGAAGCCTCGGCGAATTCTTGGAATGATGTTTATTTCGGGAAATCCGTTTGTGGCCAGATATATTAGCTCAAGTTATTTAAGCCAGTGTCCTGAGATCAGAATCCGGACCGTTGCAGATTACTGAAAAATCCTGTGATGTCTCCATAAGGGGAAGACTTTCTATCAAGATGACTTCGATATCTACCGTGCAAGTACCAGGGTCTCTAACTTTTCTCTACGGAGTGCTATCTCTAGTGAGTGCGCTAATCGCCACATTGACTGGAAACTGTTCCTACTGACCCAATGAGAATAATAGATGGTAGCATTTCTGATTGGGCAGGCTTTCTACAATATCTATCTTCACCCGCTTCGAAAATTTCCTGGTCCCAAGCTCGCGGCGAGCTCGAATATATGCTACATCTGGTGGTCAATCTCCGGGAGAATACATGCTAGGTTCAAGGAATTGCATGACCAGTATGGCGATGTTGTACGCGTTTCGCCCAACATCCTGGTATACAGAGGCTCCAACGCTTGGAAAGACATCTATGGTCACCGTAAACATGGTGCCAGTTCGTTCATCAAGGATCCCGAGTTCTATATCCCAAGCCCAAACGGCCAGCATATACTTACAGCAAGTGATGCCGATCACGCGAGAGAGCGGCGGCTATTGTCTCATGCATTCTCCGAGAAAGCTTTGAGAGAACAAGAGTCACTAGTACAGCATTATGTGGATCTTCTCATCGAGAAACTACAAGCTGAATGCGCTACTTCGCGAAGCACGGTCGATATCATGAAGTGGTACAATTACACCACCTTTGATATTATTGGAGACCTAGCCTTCGGGGAGCCGTTTGATTGCCTGCGGGACAATCGCTACCATCCCTGGGTGAAGATGGTCTTCCGAAGTGTGAAAATGAGCGTCTTCCTGAGACTCGTTCATCTGCATCCATTACTAGAATCGCTGGTCAAGAAATTACTCCCAAAAGAAGCTGCGAGAATGAGGAATGAGCACTGGCGCATGAGCAAGGAAAAAGTCGGGCGGCGTCTTGATCTGCAAACTAGCAGGCCGGACTTCATGTCTTACATTCTCAGACACAATGACGAGCGAGGCATGACGCGGCAGGAGATAGAAGCGAATGCAGGTGTTCTTATTCTTGCTGGTAGTGAGACAACCGCTACCTTGCTGTCCGGCTGCACTTTCTATCTTCTGAAACACCCAGAAAAGTACAATAAGCTCGTCCATGAAATCAGGGGGGCTTTTCAGAAGCAAGAAGATATCACCTTCCTTACAGTGGCTAGACTTCCGTACTTGCACGCTGTTCTCGAAGAAAGTCTACGATTATATCCTCCTGTGCCTGGATTTATTCCAAGAAAGGTCCCGATGGGCGGCGCTTCCATTGATGGTCAATATGTCCCGGGAGGTGTACGCGAAGACTTGAAAATCATTTGACACGTCCCTTCTGCTAACAGGTTCGGTAGGTCTCTGTATCTGTAGTACCATTCTCGGCGTCTCGGGCTAAATCCAATTTCGTTGAGCCCGAATCTTTTATTCCTGAGCGCTGGTTGGGGGAAAGGGATCCTAGGTTTGAGTCAGATAACCGAGAGGCCTCGCAACCCTTCTCCTTTGGTCCTCGAAATTGCCTAGGGAAGAAGTATGTTGCTGCACCCTCTTCTAACTCGACTCTTTACTGACAAAGGGCGGTTTCTTCCCCGATACAGTCTCGCCTATGCTGAAATGCGCCTCATCGTTGCAAAGCTGCTCTGGAACTTTGACCTGACCCTCCATGGAGACTGCTGCGACTGGGATGATCAGGCATCATATATCATTTGGCAGAAGCCTTCTTTGATAGTGAAACTGAAGGCTGTCAGAGATGAAGGTGGTTCCGATTCGAGATTATCGGAGTGAGCAGTTACACATGCCGGAGCTAAACATTGGTAACTTCTGCTTTTGGAGGTACGCATTTCAGTATGACTACCTGGCACCATTTGCTTATCAACGTGCGTAAATACTCTCAGTCGGATGACATAAGGCTGGTGCCAAGGACATAGCGGCTTTGCCTTTGTGTAACAGAGACACACCCTCATTAGCATACATTTACAGGGATTATTGTGTTTGATGCAGATCCCCCTGCGTCAGATTCGCTAATCCCGTCAGAGCCCGAGGGAGACTGAGCTACTATTGATATCTCGATGATCGACACTTTCCAAACCTCAAAGATTGCCAATACCAGAGTTTTACTGATTTGTCACCCACTCTTTCTTCAAGATGGAAAGGAAAACTCTCGCTCAGTCAGGTGGCCGTAGAAAATAGGAATGCTTCCCAACATTTCGCCTCAACCCGCCGCCTCATATTTCGTGCGCGCCTATTGAGTCGAATAATATCCATTGCCAGCTTCTAATTTCGGACATGAGGTATTTCATATTCCTGAGCTTCCGCCGGTGCCCCCTTTCAGATCCCGCTTTTTGTGGGTTAAACCGCACAGGAATATTGAAACAGAACCTAAAATGAGTTAATACAAAACAAGGTTGAAACATCTTCTTGGAACGAAACAACAGCCTCAATAGTGAAGCGGTTGAAAGCTAAGCACTGTCACTCTGAAATGAGTCGCCCCTTTTTGCGGTCTGGAAACTTTGAGCCTATCCGAGTCGGGAGTGCATGATGAGTCTCGCCCAATCTTGATGTCTTTCATTGTTCATTTTGTACCTTCTCCGCGGCAGGAAGAATCCCTGTTACAGGCTGAGCTGGAATAGGATACTTTGTTGTGGGATTCGAACTTGGTCATACGACTCAAAAGCGAGTGTGACTTCTATCGCACAGTCCAACCGCTCAGCGCGACAATCATTTGCCCTACCTGACGATACCATTTGCTGGGGCAAAGCATCACTCCAGCCGTGGCTAGTGCTGCCAATAGTACGACGTACGTATCTCAGTAGGCGTACTCTGGGCTGAGAAAGACATTCTCTGTGGCAGACTGCAAATGCGCAGTTTAAGATTGCCTTTCTAGAGACAGAACAGGTTTAGTAAAGCACGGCTGGGATTCACTTGATTACAACAAAGAGGTGATCTCTTCAACTTAATATCATTTCAGCTGCACGGCTTGAAAGCATGGTGTTTCATGGCGGTTGCACCTACCCCCGCGTTCCAGTTGGGGGATGTTGGCCTGCCGTGCAGTCAACGGGATGATCTTGCGATGTTCGAGACTTGCCAATCTTGTAAGATTGATGACATCTGCTAAAAGAGAAAAACCACTTGTCGACGTGTAGCCTCAATCCGAAGAACGGGGTACCATGCGGTCTCAGGCTTCGAGTACTGAGTTGCGCTTTTGGCAGGAGACGATCAAGTGACATTCTTCACATTCATCGAGTGTTGCGCGAGTAGTAGTATGTATCATCCAAAAGAGATCCTCCAGACGCTGAAGTCAGAGAATGAACCTGTCAACAGGCTGAGGTGAGTCCCCAGATCCAAGGACTCGAGGGCGAATAGTCCCAATACGGTAAAGTCTGCGACCTCAGCAATGGAGACAAGAAAAAGAGGACACAAAGGCAGGCAAAAGCAAAGATTAAGAAACTGTATGGGTGAGACAGATGACGTTTGTGAGAACATCCTTCTTGATCCCAGTATGAGCGTGAAAGCGTAACCACGACATCAACTAGGCATTATGCTGGCCTAGCAACCACGCTATACAAACCACAGACCTGGACAAAGCAGTACGATGATGTCCAGAACTCCAGATGAGACCGAACCAATGTTTCCTGTTTGGGAAAGACCTGTAGGTATCAAGGATTCCTGGTAGTTCACCGCCACAACTCGACCGTTCATGATCCACTTCAGCCACAGGTGGCTTGTGCTTTATCACGTTGAACGGTCAATCCGTAAAGAACTATTCGTCATCAGCGGAATGGTTGGGTAGATCTTAGTCCCAAGTCGTCAAGGGGTGCTCCACGGCATCATACATTGCACCGTGCATGAGGAGAAAAGTAAATATGAGGATGCCCGACAAATCGTCAGTGGTACAATGCAGATCCGACCAAAATGCATAGTGTGTGGGCAGTCGGTCAAGGAGCCTTTTTTTTTGTCCAGTTTCCTGTCATACAGACTTGACTGTTCACGAGCAATACCCGTAATAATGTGTCCCATTGTACACTGCGCGGCAGGTGAAGACTGAACCCTGAGATTTTACTCCACTAGTTCGTCCACACTTAGCAGTTCATCGAGCAAATAATGGCCATTCTGAAGCACATTCTTTATGTGATGAACAGCAGTCAATGATTGGCCGGAACAACTGATAGATACCTCGTGGAAGCTCAGGGGATCCTGGATGGGATCGTCGAGAAAGGAGTGCAATTCATGACAGTTTTCACAACAAACAAGGATGGAATGATCGACGATGGACACACAGCGGGGTGAGTATGTGAGAACTTGGAAGATACAGCTGCATCCAATAGCTCGAGTCAGCGAAGTGATAGCCAGGAAGACGGAAGTAGACGAGGAAAGCATACGGAGTAGAAAGCCGGTCAAAGAAATCTGGGTGAGGCTGAGGTGGAGATCTGTGGCTTGTTGCCAGGACTAAACCAGAAAGAGGTGTGGCGAAGTCGCCGTCCGAAGTTCTCAACATTATTGTCCCTTACCCACCTCACTCTATGCGCTGGTATGACCTGTGATCCATCTCTGATTATTGCTTCCACATCCAGGCCAGGCCACAGGGCATGATTCAATTTGCGTATCTTCTGATTCCGGTAAACGCATACGTTGGCCCACTACGGAGTATTCCTTCTCGACCATTCTCTGGCACAAGAATGGGAAGCTTTGCGTACCTCTGCACAAACTAGGATGTGCTTTGTCCTAGCACGGTTGTCTGTTCCTCCTGGTTCTGAACTCCATTGGATGCCGCGATAGACTACCGAAATTTTAGTCGTCGCACTTACGCTCTTTACGGGGTGTTCAATGTCTTCGTTATGTAGAGGCACTGCGATTGCAATGACATGTTGACTCCTATGCTATACAGCGGACAAGCATGATCCTTCTGAGTATGAGCGATGAATGCAGCTTTGTATCATCCCTTTCCAGGATTGAGTATCTGTCTGGGCAACACAAGAAAGCAAGGGAGCTTCATGGACAAACCATCTTCAGGACCAGAGGGGGACGCATGAGCCACCTCTTCCCCAACTCCACTGATACCAATGGTCTCTACTGTTTGCGACTACCGATGTAAAGGCAAACGGCTACCGTCGTCCGAGGATCCCGGGATACGGTTATAGATCTTGCATGATGCGCAAGGATTTGGGGGGTCAACTTGTGCTTCACAACTCAATCTAGCATGCGTCCCGAGGCCGATCTGACACCTTGATCTACCATCTCTCTGACCGGTTTCCGGGAATTCTCAGCTGCTTTAGCGCCGTGGAAACCATATCCGTGCTTATTCAATGAGGTTCAGAGTGACGCGTTCGCTTGAGAGGATCCAACCAAAGAGGTAAGATGGTGTCAGCGCAAGCCCAAAAAAAGAAAGAAAAAGAAAAGAAAAAAAAAAAAAAAAATGGAGAGAGGCATGACCTCCTCAAGAAAATAACGAGAAAACAACTAGACGATCAAAGACAAGAAGTGGGTTCCACTTTCACAAATGCCCTTCTTGCAGGAATGATGGAATTTTTCATTATGGAGCGGTGTTCATCCACACCCAAAATCCAATAAACACTGACAAGCTTGCGGGACCTCAGCCGGCGTCTACACATCACTGTAATTCCACGCAGATCCACATTCTCGCTAATCTTGCATTTCAAGGGAGCTATTGAGATTAGCTTTTTTTTCTTGCCTGTGGTGGCAAATCCACTAAGACAACATTCAGCACTGTCCTCCAATTAGGAAATATGTTATCATGCCATTTGCGGTAGGTTTCAATCTATGCCAGGCCGCACACAACATATATGAAGCACCTTCGGGAGCCCATTATTTACTCTACCGTTTGCTTGCTAATCCAAGATCGATTCTCTCGACCAATTGTCTGGTCAATCCTCTTGTTTGTGCTTGTTGAATCCCTTCTACCGTGATCTTCTCATTTCAAGCTCAAGATATAGGTTACTTCCATTGTTGAAGTTGTACCAGCGTCGACTCGACCGAATTGCATCTGTCCTGGTGCTATCTGATAAAGAGAAAGACTACACCAAGTTTCAATAAGAGAGGCTTGCAAAAATGGTCCAGAGCAATGCAGGAAATGCCGGGGGAAGCTCCAGTCGGGAGTTCGGTATCACATTTGAGATTGAGCCCCCAACTGCTGTTCGTCCTGGCACGCCCTTTACCCTGCCAGTAGTTGTGGCAGTCAGGCCTGCGGGCAATCCTGGCAACCAAGCAGTCCAGCACATGGTTGCGCATGCATCGCTCAGGAGCGAGACAGGGGCCGTTGCAGCTACCGGACTGACGGGGACTCTAACTTCCAGTGTGCGCAGTCGAAATGGGAACACTACAAGCGGATTTGCCAAGTTCAGCCCTCTTAGCATTGCGCGGCCGGGTCGGTACCGAATTCGAGTGATCCTTGGTGCTGCCTCACACAGCGGAGTCACCACCAAGGAGTATGTCGACTCCGGGGTCATTCATGTCCATGCAGGAGCAGAAGCTGTGCAGCATCCAAGTGAGTATGGTCCTTCGATTTGAATCACCAGGCCCATACACAAAGCTGCATATCTCCCGGAAATTCCATGTTGACCACAGGCTGACCCGGTTCCAGCTCCTTTGCAGATATCTAAGCTCCAGTCTCTGACGGCGGAAAACATCGACATCACACCGGCCGACATTGCAGCGTGGCAGAGAGCGGCATGAGGCTTTTTTTCTTCCAGTTGAGCATCTCTCTCATCCCTTTATGGATTCAAGGGTAATCATGATTACACGGCCGGGTGCTTCGAGTCACGAGCCTGACGGGTATCAATTATTGCTGACGGGACAAGGAGTACAGCTGGAGAATTGGAATTTGATTATTATTATTCGGCCGGGGCGTTCTACTTTTTGATTTTCCAGCAAATTTTCCCTTTTTGGTTCCCTAATGTCCCCTGATTCCCCCTTTTTCTTCCCATCACTTCCATTGCGGCCTTACGTTCGGCCAGTTTCCGCTAGCACTTAACAATCACCCCTGAGACGTCCTGCAGGCCCAGTGACACAAATATTTACTGATTAATGATAGTTACTCCATAGATGGCCACAGCACACGGTAGTAGCCACTAAGTACTAATTCATCAAACTCTACCTTCGTAGTGAATACCGGTAAAAACAGATCCCGGCGAACGAACCACTCGTAAATAGTGTCATTCAAGTCCCTAACTGCAGCCGTGGACCCTGAGCGATGATTGACATGTTCCACTCCCACGTGTAGGTGCGGTACGGAACGAAACCCCAAGCAATCATCATCAAGGGGAATGACAAAAGGCATGTGGGCTGCGTCCTGACAAATTATCCACCACCAGAGCATCACCTTTTGATCTCGACGATCGAGCACGCAGAGTGGCCGATCTGGATGAGACCTGCTTCTCTTGATCCATAGAGCACAAAGTACCTTTTTTTGCCCTCGAATGTGTTCTAGAATTCTGGAATTCTGGAATTCTGGTACTTTTGTGATATAGGTAATTACTCATTCTGCACAGGTGTAGGTTAAGTTGAGTGCTCAGTTGGATTTTGAGGGTTAGGGTGAGAAAGGTACCGGAGTAGGAGTCTAGGTCGAAGCCCTAAGTGGGATTTGGGGATCTTCAACTACTGTTTCAAGGAAGATGATGCTGGATTCTGCTTTACATTCTCAAAAAGTATTACAGTTGGTGGGATGGTCAGCTCTGCGTCTTTGGCTCTTTACAGGAGTGATAGCATGATGGGTGGGCCTATAGGGCAAGGTATGTAGTCAATGAACTGGGCTTAAATATAGTCATTTTACCGATGCTTCAATCAGAGCAAGATTGCTTGGTTGAATGGAAATTGAAAGTAGTATGCACGAATTATAAACACAATCAAGAACAGTCATAGTTGCGCTTCGACTGCGTGACACGAATGCCGAGATGAATACAGCCAATGAATTTTCTTTCTTTTGGGATTGTTGCTGTGCATTGCCCGGAATAAACCCTCGGTCTGATGTAGCTTCTTGCTGGTGGTTGACCTCGATGCTCTGTCTAATGCCGAGAGAGTGATGACCTGTCCAGATAGATGATACCAGTCACTGCTGGTATGGTCAGATGGTTTGTCGGTGGCAGTGTCACTTGTTGACAATGACACTGTTCGATTTCCAATCATGCCGGAATCTCAAGTTGTTAATCTCATTTGGGAGGAGGGATGAAAAGAATGATGCAAAAGCGCGATCCTCAGCTCTCTTTTCCATGATGACGCAAGCGATCAACGCCCTCACGGACTGTATCCCGCAGACTGAACCCACCAAACAGCCAATCGTTAGAATGACGGCCGTAGTGGTTCACAGTCCCGCTGTAGCGACGATAATCGTCGCCGCTCTTCCTGGAATGGGAGCTGTATGATCCCGAGTCGCGCTTGTGCGGACCAGCAGAGGTCGGACTGGTGGTCTCGATTGGAGACATTGCGGTAGGGCTTGTTGAGCGTCGAGGGATGCTGTCACGAGAAGTAGGGACACTTCTTGGAATGGTGTCCTCGCAGCTGTCGTATGTGGAGCGACGAGTGCGATTGACCCGTAGCTCTGTCTCAATTGCTGCGGGCGACTTTGAGCGAGAGCGAAACAGTCTTGCGCCGGAGGGGAAGGACCGTTTGTGGGAAGATTGACGGGGAGTTTCAGCGGCGTTGTCGCTTCGAGAGGAGTTAGATGAGGAGACAGTGGTCGTGTGTGAAAGTGGGCGATGGATATTGTTTTGCTCGATTTCTGCGGGTCCAGCAGTGTGCTGATCTTTCATGTTCGAAAGAGATCTGAGAAGGTATGTAAGCTCTTGTATGAGCTATGTGAGGATCAATATGTAGATTGGAACTTGGAAGAAGATGATCAAGAATTGAGCACAGTCTGACCAGGATCGCGGACAGATGGTCATATTTATGTTTCTCTCCGCTCCAGCATCGAGTTCCTCTGAAACTCAACATCATTATCTCCTCCCCTCTCCATCACCCAATCATTGAGCCATGAGGGCGGGACTGACATTTTCTGGAGCATGGGGTCCCTGCTCCCATTGACGAATCAAGTGCTGCCAACGATCCAGCGGGAGGGTCTAGTGCACGTCCTTGTTTCCATTCCAGGTCATTTTGGTCATTTGTGGGCCTGAGTCGGTGAGACTTTCGGCTTGCCCCACTCACTCTGCCCTACAAGGTTGAAGAAGAGCCAATCACAGCTTCTACAGTTGCAGATTGATCTCTGAGAAGGGCCAAATTCACCGCTTCTGCCTGGTGGCATAATCAACAACCATGTTACTCGACCTTCAAAGAATGAAGATAAAACAATATGATTCATATCAGTTCAACTTTCAATGATTTAGCTTCCGCTCAAATCCTGTCCTGGATGAACATCTCTCAGACACCGTTCTCTTTCGCTTCCCTACATGTTCAACAATAATCCTGAGGAGGCCGAAGCAACTGAGACCCGCCCGCTGGCAGGCTGATAGGGCCGTTCTAGCGTGCTTCGAGAAGGTTATGGGCACTCCAATGGTCCAATCACATCATCTGGCCCCCAAGAGGGGATGAATCTCGCATTGCAACTGGTCAAAGCAGAGGAGCAGCCTATGCCGCCTATGCGATGGTGTAGGAATTAGTCTACGGAGTAGTCCGAATGACTCAGTCACTTTCTAGGTAGCAACATTTTTCGAGTGAAGTGAGTTTGTTCGATTCCCCGGATATCTGACTCGTTTCAGTGTCTGACTCCATTGCTATGCAGACCTGCCTCGAACGACCAACTGGAGGACAGTGACTTCGGCACGCACCAGATCCTGAAGCTATGGCACACAATTACTGCTGCCACAATCTACTGCCAAGTGCTGAGCAATCGCCAAGCACAGACGCGTGCGAACGAGGAAATCAACATCTCCACACTTGAGGCTCTAACTGTTCTATTTCCCCCTCATATGACATCACCTGATTGCCTGCCAAGTAAAACAGTCAGAAGTATTTCTCCTCGGCACACTTGTTCCGATCATTTTGCTGGGGAACAAAGCTACCGATGCGCTGATAGGATCTATGCCCTAGGGTCATACGGATTTGCAAGAGCAAGAGATCAACCACTATGCTCCTCTGAACTAGTGCTTGATGTTTTGCCGTGCAATGCTACTCTGATCGCACATTCCCCAAAAGATGCCACCCTGCTTCCACAGCTTCAGCGGCGTGTCCATTTCTGCAATGTATCCTTCCTCCATGATGCACATCCACTCCTAGTGTATGCAGAGCAGTGTCTTACCATCAAACCCATGGCCATGGTCTCCTGAACCTTGCGATCTGTTTCAAAGTCAACTAACGAGGTAGCCCATTCGCAGATGACAACATAGTAATTCCTCACGAGCTGGCCGAGAGAGAAGTTTGATCCTTTCTAGTCAACCACTGTGTTGGGTCTTGTGGGACGATGGCCAGGCGTGATGATGAAGGTCCGGAGGCCAACAGAGGCAATATCAATGCTGCTAACTGTACTGCAATCACTGGAGAGTTTTGTCAAACAGAATAGTGTTGATATAATACTTGGCTTCCCCGAGCCAGTTCTTCTAATAATGCTAATGCGCTCTCCTTGTATATGCATCATGAAGTCCACAGGAATGACAACTAATGCCTATCCAAGCACAGTTATGTCTTGAGCTGTTCAACTTTCTCCAGTGCCCTGGTGAGCATCTTCCGCATCACAATCAGACTCTCCATCCCAACACTAAATTCTCACCAGGTGACCTGGTATACCACGCCGCTCCATCGGTGCAACTTCTGGAAATGCTATCTAGCCGGTGCCCAAATAACGAGATCAGTACACATGTGTGATCAACAGACTGCGGAACCAGGGAGTGCTATTGAAGCCCTACCCAAAGCCCACTACCCCCGGCAGGCATCACTCTTGCTGCCTCATTTGCGCATACCTCATATCATAACTCACTAGAAAGCATGATGTCCGTATTGGCTAGTCGTGTAATAGACGTAAAATGGGTCTAACAGACATGGGTTAAATTATTAGCCCATGTGTGGACTACCTGAGATATATACGGTATATGCTGAGCCACGGCTGGCATTCTTTCCCCTGTAGCAAGGAAATAAGTTAGAGACTCATTTGCATACCCAAAGACGATTATTCTCATAGTGCGAAACTACTCTGACTTAGCTTTTATCTTGCCAGCCTATTGAACACTCAAGCTAAACAGCAGGTATATAGGTCTAAGATAGCATTCCCATAAGATGTTATAATGAATTATGCCACCCTGACGCACGGACCAACGGACATTGTCATATTTTGATAAATAATAATTGTACCTTGCTGCTTGCATTTGACCCTCACCCGCCATTCTAACCATTCTCATTAGTAGATAGGGGCACTTTGAGCTCTGAATGACTGCATAGGCATATAATACTCTGCATATGCTATTCTAGCAGTGATAACAAATACTTCACTAATATTCAACCTGTTGGCAGGAATCAGGCCCAGAACGCGGATAAGCCATCGAGATGCAAGAAGCAACACGCCAAGCGCGAGAAGCAACAAGTCCACAACCTCCAAAGCAATCAGGACCAATAAAAGGACCCTCCAAACCAAGCGATCACTCCTCCAGAAGCGTCCACAGACTCGCGCTCGGCGCCCTCCACGACCGCGGCTGCTCCGAATGACACCTCCGGTGGTTTCTCTCAGCCACCGAATAATCAAATGCGTCAGCGGCGGTTCTTCCCCGATCAGTGAATATATCAGCCGGTTGGGTCCCAGCCGCTTGAGGCACCCAGTACGAGATCACCACTTGTTCCCCAGCCGAAGTAGCTGTAGGTAAAACGAACAGCGATCGAGCCTTATCCAGCGGCGGACGAATCATCCTTCGTAGTGAGCCGGTGCCGGCGCTCATGGTAGTACGCTTCTGCGCAGACGCATCATGTCGGACGGCGTGCTTCGATGCAAACCATCGGTGGGACCGCGTCGTCTTCGTGCGTACAATGCCGGCAGACGCAGCATCGTCCTCCGGCAGATCTTCGGAGACGATGGGAGCCAGGTACTGTTCTTCGAGCTCTGCGAGCGTCGAGGGATCTAGTGCCCTGGGATTCCGTGCGATTCTTCTTTCGCACAGCTGCGCTGCCGGACTGCCAAAGGGCCAGGAATGGCGTCTTCGGTGGTGACGCAGGTGTGGCATGTCAGAGAGCCAAAGTAGACAAAGAATATCTTTCTTATACAACGATCAATAATATGCTCCCTATGCAGAAGACAAATCAGAAGAAATGAAATGAGAAAATAGACCAAGTCTCTCTACTTCCTCCTTAACGAGAGACAAAGGATCACCATCCAGATTCTCCCAATCATATCACTGAAGCAAAAAGGCCAGATTTCTATCTTCACACTTCAGCCTGCCCGCATCTCTGAATTTAAACAGCTCCGCCATCTGGGACTGATCATGAGGCCAGCACGTGCAAGGTGCACGCGTCAAAAGATGTGAGCAGAAAGTTCGCCCGGTGACTGATCTTGAGCGAACACAAATCCAGTCTACCATAGTCTGGGGCAAGCTCCATGACTACTAGTACCGTCAGGACAAATCTCTATTCGTGATCACAGGGCGCAGAGGGGCCCTGAATTGAGTCACGGAACGGGAGAGGCAGCAGGGGCCCGGATCTTGCTGACTGACGATGATTCGCAGCGAACTGAGCAGCATCCTGAGTGGCAGATGACTGCTGCAGACGATCTTAAGGACAGGGGGAGCTTTAGATTCGGTGACATCATGAGTAGTTGAACTATATCAGTAGTTGATGGGTGACCGTGAGGTCCATTTTTGACTTGCGACCGCGGGTGTAGTACAGTCAGCGGATGATGGGCGGAACAAGAGTCCTTCGATATCGCCACAAGGGCTGTATCAAATATCAAAACAAGAAATTTCTCGATTGACGAGCAATGGCCAGGTCCTGACGATCTATAATTTTCACCTTTATGGATTAATATATAATTGATCTCTTCAACAATAACCAGTCACGTGGTCTAATGGTTATGATTTCTCGTTCACAATCAAAAAGTGAGCATCTTCAAGGATTCCGAGAAGGTTCCCGGTTCGATCCCGGGCGTGACTACTTTTTTGTTTTTACAACCCTCATCCTGTACGTAGCCAGTCATCACATAGATAGCTAACATGAAGATGAATGGATCATTCTCGCCTCGACCCAGCAGAGAGCTAGCTCCAGCTGAGGCCCCCAGACGAATTGCTTCTTTGATATTTTCATGCCATACGAGCAGCGATCTCGACCGAGCCAACGGCCGGCCCTTTGTCAAAGAATAAGATAGTGAGACAGTGTGTCGTCTATCAGCATTCGAAAGCATATCTTTACAGGATTCTAGACAGGAGGCCTTGGGAGTATGCCAGTGCTCACAAGCCTCAGGCGCAGGGATGAGATCCACTGGTCTTCAGATGACTTGACGACATCACGACAGTCGATTGCTCTCAAATCCAGGCGCCTTTACGAGTCTGGACTGCTATGGAGGAGTTGGTGGATGAAACTGGTGTGGGGATTCCTTAGGCGCTTCCATTATTATTGTCTGGGGGGTGGAGCCCATCCTTGAAAATCTGGAAGGCTCCAAGAATACTAGGAAGTCGAGGAAAAATCCGGACGAGGAGTACATATGTGATCAGTAAGGGAAGGATTATCAACGCCATCACTTAGATAAGTCACAGGTGAAACGCACGATGGTGAAAATAAGTTCAAGAGTGCAATGAAGGAAGTGGAGATGATTCGGTGATACCATCTATGCCTAAGGCATCAACGTCTTGTTTCACAATCAGGGGTTTGTTGAATTGTTCTCTCTAAACTCACTCTTCAATTCAACAACCACAGACAGGAGAATCTCAATGTGACCCCCTTCAAAAAAAGCTCTGCTCGCTGAAAAACCATCCCATAAATCGACAGCCTGCACTTCTCTTGGCTCTACAACGCACTCTACCAATTTCAGGAGACCTACAGTGGTGGATGAGAGCCATGTCTTCCACCATTCCTTTTACCCTCGACGTTCCGACGTCCCTTTGCATTGCCTTTACTCTATCGTTCATGCCTATCGCTTACCTGCTTGGTACATCACTGATACCGTCTTCTCAGACGCGCAACCGGATCCTGTTTTACTGGCACGCCTACGATGCCCTGACCCACATCTTCATCGAAGGATCGTTTCTCTACGAGTGCTTCTACAGCTACACCACGCTCCCCGCCGGGTTCAGCAAAGAGCCATACTTCCTAGGCTACAAGGACCGCGTATACGGAGCAGCCTACGGAACGGGACCAAGTGCGCGACTGTGGCAGGAATATGCAAAAGCGGACCGTCGCTGGGCTGGCGCAGATGCTACCACTATCTCTATTGAACTGTTGACCGTATTCCTCGGTGGCCCGGCTGCCATGTATGTGTGCTACTTGCTGTGGAAAGCATCGAGTAGCCGGTCGACTGCGCCGGCAAAAGGCACAGCTAAGGCGAGATTGTGGTTGGTTGCGCCAGCGCTGGCGACGGCTGAGCTGTACGGAGGATTTATGACTTTTGCGCCTGAATGGCTGACGGGAAGTTCCCAGCTGGACACAAGTAATGCTGTGTACCTCTGGTTTTACCTCTTCTTCTTCAACACCTTGTGGGTGTGGATTCCGCTCTGGGTCCTCTGGGAGGCTGCGAAAGAGCTGCGAGCAGCCTTTGTGGCGGCAGAAAAAGCTGACGAGCGCCGGAAGATCAAGTGAAGCTAAAATTAGGGGCAACCACCTGCTTTACCCTTTGGACAAAATACGAACAGAACGCAGAGTACATGAGTGGCAAAGCGATGAAGGACCTAAATCATTCCTTTCCATATTTAAAGGAGCTGATAGCATCAACAATCAGTGTATATACAATATTTACTATGGTTTACTGATGTGATATCCCTGGTATTATGTGACAAACTGATTGATGTTACAGGGCATAAATCACATGATATTTGCATTGTCCTTAACTACTAAACAGTATTGCTGTGAAAACTTTATAACTTTTCATTTCAAGATCAAGATTCATGGTATGGGTTGAACAGCTTCTACTTCTAGCATATGATACAGTGACACCTGGGTATTAATAATTAAGCTATTACTATCCCTTCCTTAAGTTTTTTTTCTTTTTTTATCTTTATTAACTACTTATCTCTTTAAATGTATTTAATTACTTCTACTACTCAATACCTCTTGTAAGGATTCTGATGTCCTTTGTCCTTTGTATATAGCTTCCATGAAGGCAGACCAGATGTTAGGTGCTCATTGTGGGGCAACCTCGACCTGTATCTTCGATAGCTAGTTACATTTGAATCCATGATATTTACCGCAAGCCTGATTAGGAAACCTATTGCTACGTAGGCCGTCCCACGCTATGAAGATGCAGGCACAGCCGTCCACCCATCCCCCTGCAATGAAAGAGACACGCAAATCTGCCAGAAGCCTTTCTAGAAGGGCCAGAGAAAGCGGCCTGACAAACGAGGACAAAATGGCCATCACAACATCCGTCGGCTATTGGGCTCTCTGTGCGAACTTGCTGTTAGCACGTATCCAGGCGCCGTGTTTGATAAAGACAAACGGAACTATAGCCATGACTATTGAAAAAAATCCGAGCAGCGAGCTCGCCCAGTTAATGCCCAGTTTGGTGTACATGGGGGTGGTCGCCAGAGGGAGAAAGACGGCGAAGACGGATCGCAACGTACTCGCTGCTGCAGAGGCCGAGGCTGAGAATTTCTTGTACGCATCGGTGAGATAATTGAGGAGCGCAACGAATATCAACAGGTAGCCGAATCCGAAGAAAACCCCCGACATCATTGGCACCACGGGATGAATGGAAAGTTTTGCGGACCATCCAAGCCAGAACTGGGCTATGGGGATTCCTGGGGCTCCAATGCAGGCAAGGGGGAGACGGCGATACTCCTCCAATTGAGCCCAGGCCAGTCCCGCTTTCATAGCTTTGCTGTGGTGTGAGCTGTATACAAAGATGACGACGAAGGCGATGATCGACCCGGGCAGAACTGACAGGCGGTTAGAGGTTAAGTATAGGCAAATGGTAAAAGGTTCTCTCACTTGGAAGAAAGGCTAACCCGGTTACCCCAGCAGACAGGCCATATAAATCTGGAGATGTTAGTCCCTGCGTAAATCAGATTTTCATGATGGTAGGTTTTACCTTGAAAGACGATAGGATACGCCTGGAAGTACAGGTACAGAGTCGAATAAATGAGGGCAAGGTACAACGAACAACAGAAAACAATCGGTTCTCGTGTAAACATCAGGAATGGGCGACTGAGGACGGTGCTCATCTCATTGGAGAAACCTCGTGGTCCTGGACGACCTCGTGACAACTTCTGGGATGTAGATTCTTTTTCGTCATGAGATCTTCCATTTACCTTACACAAAACTGGCACGTATGTCTCAGGCATAGTGACCAGGAGAGGAAGGCCAGGAGCCCCAATGATAAGACCAGCCCAGAAGGTCCACCTCCAAGTAATGGTAGATATAAACCCTGAGATGATCGGCCCTAGAAGGGGTGGGAATGTGGTTGCAAACATGAACCACGACATCGCCAACCCACGCTGATGGGGATCTTCGTATATGTCGGAGAATAGACCACCTAAAACCGCATTCGGTGCTGAGCCTCCCAACCCGCAAAAGAATCGAAATGCAAGAAGCGCTGCAAATGTCGGTGCCAATGCGCATGACATGGTGAAGATGAGATAGATGGAAAAAGTAATCACGAGGACGGGTTTCCGGCCAAAATATTCACTCAAGGGGCCGAAAAGAACAGGACCTGCAAGTAAAAGTGTAAATAGTCAAGTGTTTTTCTCTTGCATGCGGCTGCAAAGGTCCGACGTACGTACCTATGGCAAAACCAGCCATGTAAAGTGATGTCGGAAGAACCATCTGAATGCTATCGTTCGGGATGTGAAAATGATCGGCAATCTCATCGTGAGCTCCAGATGAGATGGAAGACCCTAAGGAGCTGTTGAAGACAAAATATATGCCTGCAAGAACGACATGAAGCTTTCGAGGCTGTTTGATTCATATGAGCGCGGCTGTCCTCAAGCTTAGGTAGTTCGGACGAAGAGTACTGTACCGGGGCAAAGTCGAAAGGGTGCAGTAAACCCTTCTCAGCAACAATTTCCCGAGCATGACATGATTCCCGTCCAGTTTGCTCTAAAATGACCGACATCCTATCTGATCTTTAATCTTTGAGGAAGAGCTCCAAGACAAACTTATAGGATCTTGTCCTCGAAGTTTGACTCATCTGGTGGAAGAGCATTCGATCCGAAACCGGCGTGGGAATCTGCATTGGAATTTGAAGTCCTGGTGAGAAATTCAACAGGATTACAGTAATTACCTGCATCTTTTCCTAGTTGGGTTATTCTGAGCTTAATCTTGATAGCAATTTTGAAGACGAACGAGTCGCTGTACCGGAAAAGAATGGAAACCTGGGATGATTCCACTGCAGCCCAATTATGGATATCGGCCAAATGGCCGAACTGGTTATGTATCTTAGAGAGAATCATTATTTAACCCGCAAAGAACTCCGTCTCCACGGGTTTAGCCTATGACAAGAGACTCTTGTTTGCAATTAACGTAATCCACAAGCGAGCGGGCCACCCAAGCGAGCGGGCCACCTCCCACATCTTTTCGGTCGCGGATGAAACATGAAGGCAATTTACAACTCATGTATCTATGCTCATAGCAAAAAAATTAAT